AGATACTGGTTACTCCTGGGGCGGGGGGTTTCTTTATTTTTATTTTTATCTTGTTTTTCGAGACAGGGTTTCTCTGTGTAGCCCTGACTGTCCTGGAACTTGCTCTGCAGACCAGGCTGGCCTTGAACTCACAGAGATCTACCTGGCTCTGCCTCCCTAGTGCTGGGATTAAAGGCGTGGGCCACCACTGCCTGGCTTTAACATGGTGTTATTAAAAATGTTATTTCAGGATTTTATTTTGAGACAGGGTCTCATAAATCTCAGACTGGCCTCAATCTCCTTATGTAGTTGATGATAGCCTTGAATTTCTGTTCCATCTGCCTCTGCCTAGTACTGGATTACATGGTTGGTACAAGCATGAACCACCAAACACGACTTTATGCAGGTCTGGGGATAAAACCCAAGGCTTTGTGCATGCTAGGCAAGTACTCTACCAACTGAGCTACAGTCCTAGTCCTGACATTAGTTTTTAATTTGTCTGCTTTGTTTTTGAGACGGGGTCTTGGTTTGCAAAAGGTTTGCCTCCTTCTCAGCCTCCTCCTTCTCTGCCTCCGGAGTGCTGGGATGACATGTGTGCATCACCACATCCAGCAGCAGGATGGTATTCTTTTTTTTTTTAGGATGATATTCTTTACATGAAATAAAAAAAATTAGCAAAAGGAATAAAGCCTCCATAGTGCATATCACAATGGATACTGACCATGGAGTATATATTTATTAATACACAGATGCTCCCTGATTTATCAAGTTATATCAATAAGTCCACAGAAACTTGAAAATATTATGAGTTGAAAACACATTTAATATTTCTAACTGTGGAACATCATAACCTAGTCTCTTTTAATCATGATCAATACATGCATATAATGCTAAGCTTCATGGAATTATCTAGCATGTAACTGATTTTATAATAAAGCATTGACTATCTCTTCTAATTTATTAAATAGAAAATACTGTACCAGCTGGGCGGCTGTGGCACACGCCTTTAATCCCAGCACTCGGGAGGCAGAGTCAGGCGGATCTCTGTGAGTTCGAGGCCAGCCTGGGCTACAGAGCGAGATCTGGGACAGGCACCAAAAACTACACGGAGAAACCCTGTCTTGAAAAACAAAAAAACAAAACAAAAACCAAACAACAATAACAACAAAACAGAAAGAAAAGAAAACACTGTACCAAAAGTAAAAAACAAAACAAACAAAAAACCCAGAATGCTTGTATGGGTATGCTTTTATATTAAAGTGAAAAATAATTATGGGGATGGAGAGATGGCCCGATGATTAAGAGTACTTGCCAGCACTCATGGCATGGCTCACAACCATCCATAAAACTCCAGTTCCAGAGGATCTGACACCCGCTTCTGACTTCCACAGGCACCAGGCTACACGTAATACCCTACATACATACTGGCAAAACACTCATACACATAAAACAAACACAGCTAAAAAAAAAATTGGAGTAAAAATTGTGAGTTAATTATCATAAATTGGTTGTCTGTATTGTACAATTAAAACAAAAGGTGAACTAGATATAAATGAAGCATGTCCATAACCCCAGCATTTGGGAAGCTAAGGCAGAAGAACTGTTGAGTTTGAGGCCACCAGGGGCTACAGAAGGGCTTTCCTTTAAGAAAAAGAAACAGATAAACAAACAAAAGCTGGGAGTGGTGGCACACACCTTTGATCCCAGCACTTGGGAGGCAGAGGTAGGAAGATTCTGTGAGTTCTGGGCCATCATGGTCTACAGAGTGATTTCCAGGGCAGCCAGGACTACACAGAGAAACCCTGTTTCAAATAAACAAACAAAAAAGAAAGGAAAAAAAAAAAAGAAAAATCCTTATGTAGGCTGGTTTGAACTGTAATCCAAGTACATGGTGGGCAAAGATGGAAGGATTGTCTTTGAGATTGAGGCTGCCCAGGACTACAGAGCAAGATCCTGTCTTCAATAAAGTAAAAAGAAACAAACAAGCCCCAACAACAACAAAATCAACCAACCAACCAAGCAAGCATACAAACCCACAGGTCCCCCAAACAAGCAAACAAAAACTTCCTCATTAGGAAGAAATTGGAAGGTGTACCTTAGATGACAGGAAACATGTACGGAGTTTATCTTTGAAAAGCACAACTTTGAGGAAATCACCCAAGAACTATAGTTTTAGAGTAAAATTTCTTCAAGTGTTTTTCATAGCAACCAGGAGCCAACAGGTGACATCACCATGGCTAACATTATCATTGTTCACCCATAACCCCACTTTTCCTCCTAAACTTAGTTCAAGCATTCACTCTCCTTGCAGATGTATGGAATTGGGTAACTAATTCTGGCCAATGAAATGTGATCAGTGATCTGAGCCCCTTCTAAATTAAGGCTTTGAAAGTACCTGGTTATTCTTCAGTTACTTTCCTTCACTCCATAAAGAATAAATTACTGTGATGGCTATTTTTGATTGTCAACTTGACTACATCTGGAATTAACAGGAACCAGAAATGGAAGGGCACGCCTGTGAGGGACTCTGGCTTAATTTGAAGTGGGAAGAAGATCCACTTCTAATCTGGATCTTTGAGCTGGGATCACACACGTTTACTCTGGGCCACGCCTTCCACTAGAGGCCTATATAAGGACATGGAAGAAGGAAGCTCTTGCTCTTTGCCTGCTTGCTCTTTCCTCACTAGCAAGCCCTTTCATTCATCAGCATTAGAGCCCATTTCTTTAGGATTCCTGCATGTACTGAAGACCAGCTGAGACACCCCACCTCGTGGACTGAATAAACTACTGGATTCTTGGACCTTCCATTCATAGGCAACCTTGTTGGATTGACCTGTAAGTTACTCTAATAAATTCCCTTTTTATATATATATAGAGAAATTCAATCTCTGAGTTCTGTTACTCTAGAGATCACTGACTAATACAAGGTGATATAGCTAAGAGATGATGGTGTCTCTGTCAACCTGGTTCCTAGAGAGACTGGAACAGTGAGTCTGATCCTCACTAAGCACCAAGGACGAGTAGGCAATAAACTTTTGATGTATTGAAGCTGAAGGTTTTAGAGATGTTTGTTACTTGATGCCAGAACATAACCTTCCCTGTTTAATCCAGTCTGGGAGGATTCATGCCAAGTTTTGTTGGAGTGAAGAGATAAAATAGATGAAAGAATTATACTAATTTGTCAGAAGTGCCTTTCTATTAAAGGATTTTAGCCTAAGGTCTAACTTTTTAAATAACTTTTAATCTAAATATCACATAAGTTTTCTATTTTTAAAACAATCCTACTGTGACTCTTTAAGTATGATATTAAATTCATCCATAAAGTTTCTGTGCTTTCTATAAATGATCACTTTCCTCAACATTAATGGACTTGCAAAATCTAGTCACACACCACAATTTCCAAAAGCATCTGAACTAGAGAAAAAGTTTTAAATCATGATCATTCAGTGGTGGAGGAGCAGAGCATCTGTCATTATTCTGGCTTTTATTCACATCTGAGGAAAGCTTAACCTTGAAGGGCTTTTCAAAGTCAGAGAATTGCTAGAATGGACAATACGTGTGATGGCTAATCTTGGTTTTTAACTTGACCACATCTGGAATCAACAAAAATCCCAGCAGCTGGGCACACCTGAAAAATATTGTCTGGATTGAATCATTAGAGGTGGGAAGACCCACCCGAAATCTGGGCTGCACCTTCTGGTATGGAAGGACTTGCAAGTAGGAAGCTTTTGCTTTTTTTCCTGTTTCCCCTCACTCTCACCAGCAAGTCTATTTACCCTGCTGGTGAAGCATTACTTTGCTAATGTTAAAACCTACTTCTCTGGGATTCCAACACAGACTGAAGACCAGCTGAGACATCCAGCCTCCGGGACTGAACAAGTACTACATTCTTGGCCTTTCAATTGGAGACAGACTGTCACTGTTGGACTAGCTGGACCACAGCCGGTAAGCACTCTAATAAATCCCTTTTATATACATGTGTATATATATATATATCATGTACTTGATATATATATATATATTCATTCTATTAGTTCTGTTCCTATAGAAAACCCTGAATAATACGGTAAGTTAGAAAATTTTAAGCCACAGAAAGGAATGCCATAACAACATTACTGGAAGCTATAAGCCAGCTTGTCCAATTTCCACTGCAGTCTATTCTCTTACGCTGCGATCGCCTTCCCATCTATCATGTTTTCCTTGGTTATTTTTTCAAGGTTATCTTTTCACTGCAACATTTTGAAGTTAAGGGAACTTTTTTACTTGTTACTTCTTTAGTTCAAAATTTAAATGCAGGAATGACTGGATTTCTTGTAGGCTAACTGGTTTTGCTTTGGGTAGTGATGACTATTTATCCATAGCTACTTAAATCCTCAAATTCAAGTTTAGAAGATAATGCTCGACTTGAAAAAGCCAAGGAGGGTGACATACACTTCCAGAGCTGAAGGTCACTTTTCCTTAGATCTTTACGGGTTTACTCAGCAAGGATGAAGTGTCTATTAGGGCTGGGATGCAGGGGAGCCAAAGTCCGGAAAGTTCTGCAGCAGAAATCCTGAGGATTTCTAGTGCTGCGATGTGTAAGAGGACGACGAAATCAGGGGCTAGATGTCCAAGTCTAAAAAGAAGTCTCCGCCGCGGGCCGGGATGGCGCAACCTGGGGGCCCAGGCAGGCAGGCGCAGGAAGGCTCCGGGATGGGAATGCAGACAGAAAGGAGACGCCCAAGTCAGCAGGCTTTGGCCGGGGGCTGCCGCGGGGCGCTGGGGGTGCCTGGCGTGGGTTGGCCGCGGGCGGGGGCGGGGCCAGCGTGTGGGCGTGGTCGGGCGGCGGCCGCCCGCCTGGCGGTCCGGGGCCTGCACGAGGCACGCCCCCTCCCCTCCGCCGGGGGCCTCCCCGCGCGGTGCACGTCCGCGTCCCGCGCCTCCGCCTCCTCGCTCGCTCGCTCCTTCCCGCCCTCCCCGCAGCTCCGGCCGAGCCGGCTTCCCCCCCCCCCCCCCGCCAACCCAACCCCCCCCCAACCCCAGTCTCTCATGAATATTGAGCGGCCCCTGTTGTATTTCCCGAGCTCCATTGCGGAAGCCGAGGCTCGCCATATTGTGCGGCGGCGGCGGCGCCGGCGGTTGATCCTCGAGTCTCGCTCCGGCCGCGGCCAGCGGAGCCCCGGGCTGGGGCAGGAGCCGGTGAGCGGGTGAGCGGGGCGAGCGGGACGGCGAGGGGTGCGAGGGCGGTGGGCTGCGGGCCAGGGGGAAGCCGGGGGGCGGGCTGAGGCCCGAGCGGCGGCGGCGGGGCTGGGGGGGAGTGTGTGTGTGTGTGTGTGTCTGTGTGTGTGTCCGTGTGTCCGCGGGCCGCGAGGGGGCCGAGAGGCGATGGCGCCGCCGCCCCCGGTCGCTCGCTCGGCCGCTCGCGGCCCGCCGGGGAGGGCTCATTGTTCGCGACCCGTGAGCAGCGGGCTGGCGAGGCGTCCGGAGCCCTTCCCCTAGGAGCGCATCCGCGCCGCCCTCGCCTTACGGCGGCCGGGGGCCTCCCGGGCGGGCGGCTCTGGAGTGCTACGCGAACTCCCCCCCCCCCCCCCCACCCCCGGGCTTCCCCGCGGGACCCGGAGCTCCGCGCCGTAGGGGCGGGGCGGGGAGCCTGAGGCCGACGACGACCCTCCTTCCTTTGGTACCTGGGATCGGGGTGGCCTAGGGACCCCCCCTCCCGGCCCCACGTTCCCGCAGGGCCGCCCCCCTGCCCCGGAGTATCTGTTGCCGCCTCCGAGAGCCGCGGGTTCACCGCTCCCCCCCCCCACAACAACCCCCGAGGCGGCGTTGGGGGAGGGGGCGACTGGGTCCGCTCTGGCAGCTTCGCGTTTTGAACCCGGGACGTGTGTGGCGAAATCGCGGGTTGCCTGTCGACTCCCGAGCCGTGGTCCTAGTTGTTAGGATCGGTTCCCTGCTACAGAAGTCGCCTTCGTCCTCGTAGAGATACTGTTGGTTTAAAAAAAAAAAAAAAAATCGGTCTTGCAAACTTTGAGGTTCATTCCGATTATTTTGACCACTAAAACAAATAACCAGTTTATTTCCACGAAGCACCTTTGGGTGTCTTTTAAGAGACTGTCGGAAGTTTGTATGCCTTGTAACGAGTTGTGAAAATGTCAGACTTGTAATGCGGTGTGTGAAAAAATCTTAGATGTGCATTAAGCATTTTTAGTAGTATGCGGTTCTTTTGAAGTAAAAAAGGAGACAGTGTCAGTAATTTAAGCTGATCATTTAATTAAAAGCACCATGAGCCATTTGCATTAAATAATTTATTTTTGGTAGTTCTGAGATGATCAACTGGAGTGCTTAGTGGGCTTGGTAGCTAATGTTCTTAATTATTTTTAATTTCTGAATATTTTAACAATTCAGATTGATGTTAGGTTTGGGGATTTTTTTGTTTTTTGTTTTTACCCCGACAGCATCCCATTCAGTATAGTCCAGACAAGCTGGCCTCATACTGGATATGTAGTTTAAGGCAGTCAGTCCTCCTGCTTCAAATGAGTATTGAGATTACAGACATTCAGCATCACAACTGGCTTACATTTTGTGTCTTGAATTGAAATTTGATCCTTTAATTTATAAAGAACTTAAGTGGCAGCAATGTTACTCCTGAATATATACCTCTTTGCCCTCTGAAGTTTCTACTTGTCACAATCAACAGGTATCTTTATTATTAAAGTCTTGACGGTACAACTAATCCACTGTTTAGTCAAATAACTGGAAACAATGTAACATTCCAGTTTCTAGGGGTACCATAGCAAAAAGGTAAAATTTTAAAAATTGTTACTTTTTCCAAGTTTTCTTAAGTAATTTATCTAAATCACCCGTGTGGGATACACACTTGACTTTAGTTATAGATGAAGACTAAAATGGAGACTTTAGACACATAGTTGTATCCTAGTCTTTAGGAGTGAAGACAGGATGGTCAGGAGTTCAAGGTCATCCCTGGCTACATAAAGCCCAGTGTGGGCTCTATGAGATTACCTCAAACAAACAATCAAGCAAAAACCAAACCTCTAAAAGGAGATGTTACTGAGGATAATTGGCTGAGTCCTGTTAGTCTTTGTATTTGAAAAATAAGGTAATGTCCTCAAATGTGCTGCACAGAAAGCCTCAAATTAGAACAATATAACATAGTTCAGACATGCAAAATACTGGGAAGTTAGTGGGCTTTGTTGTGTTATTTGTTTTTATTTTCTGTGGATCATTCAAGTTAGTGCCCAGGTAGAGTATATAGAAATATAAACCAAGTTGAGGCTGGAGAGATTAAGTGGTTAAGGGCACTGACTGCTCTCCCAGCAGACCTCAAGTCCCAGCACCCACATGGCAGCTCACAACTGTCTGTAACTCCAAGATCTGACACCCTCACACATTCTATATACATGCAGCAAAACACCAATGCAAATAAAATAAAAATAAATTATTAAAAAAAAAAGAAAAGAAATATAGACCAAGTCAGTAAACATGTTTGGAATCTCATTAGTCTGTCCCTGGTCTTAGGTTTCTTTTTTTTTTTTTCACTGTGGAGTGATTAACATTTAATAGGTCTTAGGTTTCTGATGTCTGGTCTATACTCTTTAATCTGATTTACTCATGATTTGTGTTCATATTATGCAGTTTTGAAATAAAGGTGATGCGTGCCTAACAAGTAACATATAACCAGATGTTTGAGGGACAGTTTAATTTCTGTATTAGCAAAGAAGCATAAGTCCTTCTAGCTAGAGAAATGAGTTTATATTAAAATGTACTTTAAGTGGGGTGGTGGTGGCACAAGCCTTTAAAAAAATTTGTTAAATTATGGGAATGTTTCTAGTATGACTTAAAAAGACCTCATAGTTTTGAAATGACTCATTCTCTGAATTCTGGAGAAATAAAAAATGTATCATAGTTTGAGGTGGGATCTTATTCTGTAACCTAGGTTTCCTTGGACTCCTGGAAGTCCTGCTGGGATTATCGGTGTATTACCGGTATATGCCCCAGCATAATACTTTTTGGGTCTCTCAGCAGTACTTCTCTCCCAAGTTAGCTTTACCACCCAGTTATATACCCATCCCCAGTCTGTAATCTAAAGAGGAAGAATACTTGAGGTTGTACACACTCTGCAAACATACAAACATGCTACTGATTTCTAAGTAGTGTTATATATCATGAAAGATAAACATCAGATGCCAGTTGCTTGCTTTCTTGCATTTGTCTGAAAATTTAGTAGCTTATAGACCATTAACTCGAATTTGAATAGGAATAGAGTATAAAGGTACCTTAGCGCTCAGTCCATTTCCTAAAGATCTAAAGGCCTTCATTCCCAGCATTCATGAGTGCCCGACCTGCTGCCAGGCCACATAGATTCCAGGATAGCTAAGAATGGGACCCAGCAAGTTTGTATAGATCACAGCATCTTGTCAACAATGTCAAAAGGTTGGACACTCAGTTGGATGCCGCATGCCTTTAATTCCAGTACTTAAGCAGTCTCTGAGTTCCAGGCTAGCCTAGACTACATAGTGAAATCTAGTTCCCTAAGGGGAAAAAAAGGTTGGACACTCGTGGACCTGGATTCTTTGAGTCTTTGGTATTTCATTTGTGGGTATGTGGAGGGGGTGTATAGCTTGGTTTCACATAGATATTTTGAATTTGTAATGAGGCCCATGGTATTTAATTAGAAACTAGCTGTACTTTGTTCAGAGGCAGGAGCTAGCTAGGTAATGAGTCCCTGACTGTAGATGTTGAGAAGGTGGGTGGCCCATTACCAATTTTGTTCTGAGTAGAGAAACTCCAGTAGAATTGGCCATGTCCTCAATTTTGTTTTAAAGCTTTGTGGGTGTTTGGCAGCTGAAGTGGATTAGTATGGATGGATCTAGTAGTATGTCCTATTGGATGTTGAACTGCTTTGTGTCACCAGCAATTCCAAGAAAGATTTGATTGTTTTCACACATTTTGAGAAGGAATTGCTTCTGTATAGCAGCCATTTGTTGAAATTTTAAAAGTTAGTTTTTGTGTATTAAATTTAATAGTGAGGAATTGCTTTAAAAGTTAACTTCAGATTGAGATGTCTACTGAAGGCATGCTAACGAAGTGAAGTAAGAGGCAGATTAAAAAGTCTTAGGAGTTTCTCTTGTTTGCTTTCAACAGATGTGTTGCTTATGGGCCCTTCTGAAAGAAGCATTCTTTTTTCTACGTTGTAGAGTGGAGTTGTGTTTTGTTTTATGTATGTGATTTGAGACGGTCTCACTATGTATTCCTTGCTGGCGTGGACCTCCCAGATAGCCATTTTCCTTTGCCTCCTGAGTGCTGGGAAGAAAGATCTGGGCCAATATGCCCGGCCTAGTGGTGGGGCTCTTTTTTTTTTTTTTTTTTAAATGAAGAAGTTAGAATTCAAAGTCAGTGTGTAAAGTGTAAAATTATGCTTGGAGCCAGGAGCATAGTTAAACGGTGGGGATTGTGTTTAGCATATGCCGTACCCGGACTTAGTCCCCAGCACTGAGAAAACCAGCTTGAAAGTGACTAGTAAGTTCAGCCCTGTGTAGAACAGATCGCTCACTGGTCCTTTCCTTGAACACTAGATGATATGGGGGCATATCTGGACCAGAATGGCAGCAAGAACACACCGGACCAAACCCCCACATTTAGCAGTCTTATCTCACAGTTAGACTGAAAACAATGGGGACTAGATCAGCTCTACTGTGTCAGCGATCTTTGACTGTGCTGTAGGAAGAAGGGGATTAATGTTTGAACTGTCCTGCACTATTTGAATCATTTTTTGTTTTGTATTCCAAAGCTGAATAGCTTGGATCACAAAAAACAAAAGTTCAGTGGCTTTTATGCTTCATCTAAACAGAAGCAAATGGCTGATTTCTAGTTAGCCTTTGTAAAATGGAGTTTATAAAATAACCTCGAATTTCTTGGCGCAGCATGGTATCTCCGAAGACAGCGCTCACAGGGTCCAGAGGGCTGGAGAGATGGCTCAGCAGTTGAGAGCACTGGCTGTTCTTCCAGAGGACTGCAGTTAGATTCCCAGACTATTAGGATGGGTCACAGCAGGGTGTAGCTCCAATCCTGGCTTCTGCCAGCACTGCATGCATATGTACACAGACATACATGTAGGGAAAACATCCTTGTACACATTTAAAAAAAAATCACTGTCTGGCAGTATACTAAGTCCCAGTAAAGAAAACCA